TTGATTTCATTGATCTGCTCTACAGTTTTTTAGATTCTATATTGTTTATTTCTGCTCTGATCTTTATTATTTCTCTTCTTCTGCTGGGTGTAGGATGTCTTTGCTATTCTGCTTCTGTTGTGCTGTTAGATTTTGTATTTGGGATTTTTCCTGTTTCTTGAGATACGCCTGGATTGCAATGTACTTTCCTCTCAGGACTGCCTTCACTGCATCCCAAAGCCTTTGGATGGGAACATTTTTAAATGTTGTACTCCCTTCAAGGACTTTAATCAACAATTCACTGGACTGACAAATATTTATCAAGCTCTTATTGTATTCAATAAGCTGTGCCACACATTAGCAGAGTAGAAGATAACTGAGAACCTAGGACATGGTTTCTATACTCAAGACTGTGTCTTTAGCAGAGCAGATACTCAATCAGTAGTTGTTGAATAATAAATCAAGTAAATAATAAATAAATAAGGCTCTTGATTTGTAAAGAAACTAAGAAAGGAAAACCAGTAGGGCTTTGTTTTTTTCTCTGCTGTATCCCCATTGGCTGGAATAGCCAGGTGTATCGTAGGTCCTCAGTGCATATGTGAATGAATGACCAAATGACCATGTACTATCTGTGTAGCCAAAATTATTGGAATCCAGTGGAAGCACATCACTTCCATCTGGGTTAGTCAGGGAAGGCTTCTTGTAGTAGTGGGATTTTAATTAGAGAAAGGGAGGGCCATCTAGAAGTAGAGGATGATGTAGAGGCACCTGAGGAGATGTTGGAAGCTGACAGCGGGAGCACGGTGCTGGTGGGTGATCACCAACGGTCAACTTTAGAAAGCTTAGGAAGACTAGTTTAAATTTTTCTGTAGAGACAATGGACACTAAAAGGGACAGTTTATAAATATTAAGCTAAAGGTGTTATACCAAATGCATTGAGGAGAAGACAAATTGTGAAAAGCACATTCATGGGGCTTGGCCAGTAAAGGAGTTAATGAGGGAAATGCAGGAATCAGACAGTGTCCGTCTTGTTTTGAGCTTGGTTGACTTGGATAATAAAATAATAATAAAAGCATAATCACAAATGGGAAATCAGAAGGGAAAATTAACTTTTCGTGGGAAAACTTTTGTGTTTTCAATCTCTGAGTGTTTGAAGTAACAAGAGCACTTCGTAGCAGGCCGAGAGAAATCTCAGAAACACAGATGATGTGACCTGAGGCATCTTAGGGAGTGAGTAAAGACTAGGATCAAGTACAACTAATGAGTATCAGTGATATGATGACTGATGTTACCTGAAAGCTGACCAGAGTAAGGAATAGCCCGGAGGAATGCACCTCTGGCCTGGGCGCCGAGCACAGTAGGGTAGCAGCTGCAGTCATTCCCAGTGTTTTGGGGGTACTTAAAAAGTGTCCCTTCATTTGCAGTGTGACTTTTTCTCTTTTAAGTTTGAAGAGCCATTATACAAATAGTTCCAGGTAGGTAACACATTTGGAGGTATCGGTTATATAAACACTGTCTTGTAAGATTAAGCTAAAATCCTGTAAGTATTACACAATATACTCATTTATTCTTACTGATAAAAATAGTCTTAAATTGCCCCAAATGTGGTATTAATTTCTTTATCTTTATTTTAATAATATCCTGACGTATTTACATTGAATTACTTCTATGTAGATATCACAGAGTTGAAGCTTACTCAATTCTAAGCATATTTTGCACTTCAAAGGTTCTAGCTAGAACTTTTGGTCATCTGGGGTGCCACATTGCCACTTTTTAAGGGAAAGCAATTGCTAAGGCCTTGCACTGGTAGAAAATCTAGGTGGGTCTTTAAGCTATCTCTCATCTGCTTGGAGGGTGCTAGGAATGATGGTTATAAGCAGAGTTGGTCCTGGACGTGTGTTAAATAGAAGTGGGGCTCAGAAGGAGGTCTTCAGGCCAATTCTCTCCCTTAGCATATGTGCTTTTGTATTTCAATCCCTGTTACATATAAGCATAGAAAACAATATCCATCTTCCAGCTCAGACCCTCAGTATTTACCTATCCCAGACCTAAGGATGCAAGTGTAACACTTGGCTTTTGCCTCCTGGAGGCCAGGGGTAATATTCCAAAAATGAGCTGATTTTAATGTAGTGAGCATTCTAGTTTTTATTTTTCCTCCCCAGCTTATTGAGATATAATTGACATACAACATTGTGTAAGTTTAGGGTATAGAATGTGATGATTTGATATACATATTTATTGCAAAATATTTGCCACAGAGACTTTAGTTAACACATCCTTTACCTTTACCTAATTATATTTGGTTGTTGTTGTAGTGAGAGCATTAAAGCTCTACTCTCATAGCAAATATTCATGTATATGATACAGTATTGGTAATGTAGTTACTGTGCTTCCGTTAGATCCTCAGAACTTACTCATCTTGTAACTAAAAGTCTTTGACCGGGATTCCTCATTTTTCTGCCCCTGCTTAAACCACGGTTTGATTCTCTGTTTTTTTGAGTCCAGTGATTTTAGATTCCACATGTAAATGAGATCACACGTATTTCTTTCTCTGTCTGCCATCTTTCACTTAGCACAATGCCCTAAACTTCTACCATATTGTCACAAATGGCAGGATTGCCTTCTTTTTATGGCTGAATAATATTTCATCTTATATAAATACCACATTTTCTTTATCCATTCATCATTGTACACAGGTTTTTTTCATGTCTTGGCTATTGTGAAATACATTTCAGTGAACATAGGAGTACAGATATCTCTCTGAGATTGTGATTTCACCTTCTTCAGATATATACCTAGAAGTGGGTGGGATTGCTGGATCATATGGTAATTCCAATTTTAAGTTTTTTCAATGTTTATTTATTTTTGGGACAGAGAGAGACAGAGCATGAACGGGGGAGGGGCAGAAAGAGAGGGGGACACAGAATCAGAAACAGGCTCCAGGCTCCGAGCCATCAGCCCAGAGCCTGACGCGGGGCTCGAACTCACGGACCGCGAGATCGTGACCTGGCTGAAGTCGGACGCTTAACCGACTGCGCCACCCAAGCGCCCCACCAATTTTAAGTTTTTGAGGAACCTCCATACTATCTTCCACAATGGCTGCACCAATTTACTTTCCCATCAACAGTGCACAAGGGTTCCCTTTTCTCCACATCCTCTCCAGCATTTGTTATCTCTTGTTTTTTTGATAATAACCATTTTAACAGTTGTGGGGTGATATCTCACTGGGGTTTTGATTTGCATGTCCCTGATGATTAGTGATATTGAGCACCATTTCAGGTACTTATTAGACATTTTTGTATGTCTTATTTGGAAAAAATGTCTATTCAGGTCCTCTTCCCATTTTTAAATTGGATTGTTTGTGTTTTTGCTATTGAGTTGTAGGAGTTCCTTATATATTTTGAATATTAACCCCTTATCAAATATATGACTTGCAAATATTTCCTCCCATTCTGTAGATTGTCCTTTCATTTTGTTGTTTGTTTCTTTTGCTGTGCAGAAGATTTTTTAATTTGATATAGTCTCGCTTGCTGATTTTTACTTTCATTGTTTGTTCTTTGGTGTCATCTCCAGAAAAAATCATTCCCAAGACCAGTGTCAAGGAACTTTTTTTCCTTTGGTTTCTTCTCAAGAGTTTTTTGGTTTCGGGTCTTATGTTTATGTCCTTATTCCATTCCTTATTAATTTTTGTGAGTGTGTGTAAGATAGGGGTCCAATTTCATTCATTCTTTTGCATGTCGATGTCACTTTTCCCAGCACCATTTATTGAAGAGGCTGTCCTTTCTGCATTGTGTTTTCTTGGCTCCATTGTCAAACATTAGTTGACCATCTATGCATGAGTTTACTTATGGGCTCTAGATTCTGTTCAGTTGGTCTATGTGTCTGTTTTTATGCTAATACCATACTGTTTTGATTACTGCTGGATGTTCTGTATATGTCTCTTAGGTCCATTTGGTCTAAAGTATAGTTCAAATCCAATGCTTCCTTTCTGTTTTTCTATCTGGATGATCTATTCATTGTTGAAAGTGGAATACTGAAGTCCCCTACTATTATTATATTGCTGTCTGTCACTCCCTTGAGATCTGTTAGTATTTGTTTACCATATTTAGGTGCTGCATTGTCTTTGCCTCCACTCATCTGCCTTCTTGGGTCCACAGCTCATGGAAGAAGATTAGGGAATGAATGGGCATGAGAGATGAGTCCCTTGCTCTTTTTCCCCAGTTAATGGAGACATGGAAGAGAGTGAGTGGGAAATGTGTAGCATAGGAATAGATGAGAACCAGCCCTTTTAAGGTGAAATGAAAGGTAGAATAATTAAACCTTGATCATCACTAGCAGGGAAATAAAATGGCTATAAAATATTAACATCTAGTAATTTACTATCATCATCCTAACTCTTGAAGAGTTTCTTATTTCTGAAATTGCAGTGATAGCACCGAGATTACATAGAATATTAATTTTACAAGTTTATTTTAAACCTGTTCCTAGCAGGAATAACTGCCTTTGTGTTCATGGAATTGCTGAGAGTTTATTAACAACCAATCTATGGGCCAATCATTTAAACAACTAGTGATCCCAAGTAGTTAGTTGATTGGGAAATCTTGATCACCTGACATTTATCAGTGGCGAAGGAAAAGCAGATGCAGATCTGGTTGGTGAATTCACATGTCTGAGGCTCCAGGTGGTGGGCGCGTGGACTTTAACAGTAGCAAATAGCCATGGATGAGAGAAGGACAAAAATTCCATGTAGAAATAGGAAGCTTCCAGCATTGCTAGGTGGAATATTTTTGGAGTGGGGTTAAAGAACTGCTTTTCAACCTGACATCTTCAGGCATAGGCAGTCTCCTGTTTCTGCAAATACCTAATGAAAAGCCACACCAGTGTTCTTGGATTTACGGATCCAATTTGCCAGATTGAAGGACACTTGCTCTTTTTAACTAACTGAACTAGCCGGCCCCTGCATGCCAAGTTTCTATGGCAATATGACCTCAGTGATCTCTCTTCTCTATTGTGGAATGTAGGTGATAAGAATGGAGGTGAGCCTGATGATGCTGAACTGGTAAGGCTCAGTAAGAGGCTGGTGGAGAACGCGGTGCTCAAGGCTGTCCAGCAGTATCTGGAAGAAACACAGAACAAAAGCAAGCCAGGGGATGGGAGCTCTGTGAAAACTCAAGAGGCTGATAGGAATGGCACTGACAGTGACAACAACAGGAAATGAGACCCCAATGCAGGCAGGCCCCCCCCGCTGCTCCGTGAGAAGCATCCGGCTCCCCTCTGCTGAGTCAACGGACTACTTTGCATTGTGCTGTTTAAATGTCTCTTGTCCAAGCTGTGGAGATCGCCTAATACTTTCGTGATCAATGTGTTTGCATTTCTGAAGCACGACAGAAGAGAATGGAGTGCCGTGGCTAGCAGAGGAAACTCACTTATGAAAGAATGGCCCAAGTTTCACTTACCCTCAGCCATGGCCAAGGGAGAGGGGACTTTGGGTTATGCCTCATGGACTCAAATTAAAGGCCTTGGAAGGGGCCTTGCCATAAATGGAATACTGCCATTTATATTGCTTAGCAGGGCATTTGACCACTTTACCTGAGGCCAAAACACACACACAGCTAACAAGTGCTAAGTTTAAAATAATCACTGTTGAAATCGTTTTCCATACTGTCAGTCCATAATGTCTCACACTTGTCCTGTGTCTGCTGTGGCTATGCAGTGATTTTTATTTACCGTAAATTCGTTTCATGCAAATTATATATTTTTGGCAAAATGCAACCTTTTCTATAACATGTGGGCAACATTGTAAAGGTTTCTTTTAGCCTTCTTTTGATAAGTCAGTGTGCCATATTTAATGTCTTTCACTGGCATTTGTATGTAAAATGTATTATATAATTTTTTTTTTCCCTAGGCAAGAAACCTATTGGATTCCGGGACTTAATTAATGAAGCTTTGCGTCGAGAAAGGATGGGTCTGAAGTCCAAAGTGAAACAGATAAAGGAACTTTTATTAAAACCTGAGACTCAGGCCAGGATTAGGAGGGAGCTTTTTGAAGGAAGATCTGTTAACAACAGTAATCAAGGAAACCAGGTTGATTTCGGCGCAACTTTGACGTAAGCGCTATGCTGTTATCACGGTACCATAGTTAATGAAACCTTTTCAGATGATTTCATAGGTCTTTGGTAAATACCAAAAAGTGTTTTCATAGTGTCCACACAACAGCAAACCAACATTTGGTAAGGAATGAATAATTTCCTGCCAAAGAAAACAGATTCTGCCCTGTTATGTTTTAAACTCAACTTGTGTTCTGGTATGTTTGTTTCTGTACTATCAAAAGTTACTTTATAGAAAGGACTTCTTAATTAGCTGTTGTGAGATGTTCCTTGGGTTCTCACAGATAAAATACACAGACTGTGAAAAATCATTTACATACAAAAAAAAATACAGTGTTTTAAGGATCACTTGCCTTCTGTTGATGTGATTTTTGTTGTCATTAAATCAGAAGTAGTATTGTCCACATATGTCTGTATCTAGTGTTACTTTTAATGGGGATTTGAATGTTTATTGAACATTAGTACTTGAATGAACATTTATAAGTGTAATTATTACAATTACTGGTTAAGAATGTTTTATAATATCCATATGTATTATTTTTCAATGATCAAAATGTAGTTTGCTTTTTCATTTCTTAATGAATAAATGTTTGGGATTTTTATTTTCTACTTTTCTGAAGATAAGCCCTAGGTCTTACTGTATCCCTTATAATCTGAATTTGTTTGCACTGGTTCATTTTTAAAGAAAATTCTTGAAAAATTTCCCCCCACGTGATAATCTTTGGTAACAGCTTTTTCTATGGTCATTGCAAAATGGCTGCTACTAAGAGATCATGTTGGAGAGGAAATTATTGGAGATCAAATATGTAATCATTTCAGATACAAAATCCAGCTTACTCATGGATTTTAGCTATTTTTTCACTGGGTAAATTCTACATTTATTTATAAATGAGTTTATGCATTTTCATGCCTCTTAATAAATGTATTGTTTTTCCCTTTTTGCCTCTCCCTTTTTTTTTCCTGATTCTTGGAAGTTGTATGTATCTGTGTTGGTAGAATGAAGTCATCAGCAGGAGCTCTGATCGCTTTAGTGTTTTTTCACCTTTATTTATGTCCTTATCCTTCATGCTAAGATAGCACTGTTGCAGAGCATCTTCTGCTTTAGATTTTTAAATCACCTCAAATCAGTCAGCCTCACAGAGAATTAACAACAGAACGTGAAATGCAAAGAAAATCTAAATAGCATCTCACAAACTGCTAATTATGTGTCAGTGAAGTGACAGCAGGAGTGAAGATGAAAGGAGCAGAACCTTCCAGATGCAAAGACAGGGAGCTGCTTACCGTGAAATCCCTTGGTGGTGTAGAGGGCTTTCCCTAAATAAACCTTTAAGATAGGAAGCAAAGATATTTTGGGACTTGCCTTGTTTTTCAAATGAAGAAACAGACTTGAGGAGGCTGTGAGTGCCTTTTCCAAGGCCATTGCTATTAGGGAACTGGCCTTGAACTACACCCAAGGGCTCCATCTCAACATTCCAGAGCTATTTTCACTGTTCCATTAATCTAGGTTAACAGTACTTTAGGAGAATTAGATCTTCTCAGCCTATTTCCATAAATATCTTCATTCTCAAGGAGCTGTTCCAATCTTTCCAAACAATCTGAAAGTCTCAAATAGTGTCTTCTTTGCAATCTGGGGTTACAGGTCTTACTTTAGTTAAGAATTGTTGCTTTCATTGGTTAGATACCTCTGTGCCAGGTGATTGAGGCACACTATTACATGTCTTCCCTTCAGTGACCCTCCTAGGAAGTTACTAGGACTGTTTTACAGCTTGGAAAACTAGGAAACTCGGGCGCCTAGGCGGCTCAGTCTGCAAAGTGTCCAACTTCGGCTCAGGTCACAATCTTGTGGTCCTTGGGTTTGAGCCCGGCTTCAGGCTTTGTGCTGACAGCTCAGAGCCTGGAGCCTCTGTGTCTCCCCCTCTCTCTCTGCCCCTCCCCCACTTGTGCTCTGACTCTCTCTCTCTCTCTCAAAAATAAGTGAACATTAAAAAAAAAAGTCCTTTGAGGCGCCTGGGTGGCGCAGTCGGTTAAGCGTCCGACTTCAGCCAGGTCACGATCTCGCAGTCCGTGAGTTCGAGCCCCGCGTCGGGCTCTGGGCTGATGGCTCAGAGCCTGGAGCCTGTTTCGGATTCTGTGTCTCCCTCTCTCTCTGCCCCTCCCCCGTTCATGCTCTGTCTCTCTCTGTCCCTAAAATAAATAAACGTTGAAAAAAAAAATTAAAAAAAAAAAAAAAGTCCTTTAAGGAAACTAGGAAACTGGAGCTGTAAATGGTTAAATGGCTATGAAGCTGAATGGCTATTTATAAAGCTAATAAAAGGTAGGGCTAAATTTAGACTAGGGTCTTCTACTTCAAAGCCATAGTCTTTCCACAATGCAACACTTCCTCTCTCTACCAAGTACAATACATTTCACAAGTTAAGGATGGGTCACTTTCTTTTGACTCAGCCAGCTCCCTTGTAACTCTGAAGTTAATGAATGTACACGAGAGCTGTCAGCTGATGTGATGGAACTGGAGGGGGGGAAAAGACCCCAGATAGTTAATTTAGAGATTAAAGGTTCTAATCCTTATCAGTGAAATCTTCATTTAATCAGGTTTACAGAGATCATGGGAAATATACAATAAAATATATTTTCTTCATGATTCCATTCTAACAACCAAATAAGAATTGGCAAAAGTCTAAATTTGGGATCTGAAATACTCAAAAGACCCTTCCGCCACTGTTCAAACTCCTAGAATAATCCCTCGCTGGGTCTCATCGCCAGAATATGTTGTCCTAAAATGGTAGTATATGTTATGTAGCCTTGGCTTCTGACAGGGAGGCTGCATGGGTGGTCAGAGTCTCAGTTTGGTCCAGGAGGTGGATTGTGGCTTCTAGACCTTCCACCACTGAGAAGCAATCTCGAGCAAACCAGCTCACTTATATGAGTCTCTGTTGCCAAATTAGAATCGGACATAGTTTGGCCGGGTGACTTCCAGGGATCCTAGACTCTGTGACTGCCCCACAGTGCTGCTCATGCTAGCTCCACTGTCTCGGCGGGCCACCCACGTGTGAGCCCTTTGTGACTCTGAGTGCATCCAGTGTCAGTAAGATGCTTAGTGTTACATTCTGTTCCCTTTGTGTTGGTTCTCAACTTGAGGTAGGGAAACTGCAAGGGCACACACTCACATTTATAACAAAATTCCAATATTCTACAATCACTGGAAGAATAGCAGATCCTATATGAATGTTAAAGGGATGTTAAAAATAATACACACACACACACACACACACACACACACATATGTTTCATGCTTATTTATTTTTTCGAAAGAGAGAGCGTGAGCAGGGGAGGGGCAAAGAGAGAGGGAGACAATCCAAAGCAGGCTCCAGGCTCTGAGCTGTCAGCACAGAGCCCGACTCAGGGCTTGAACTCACGAACCTCGAGATCATGACCTAAGCCGAAGTTGGATGCTTAACTGACTGAGCCACCCAGGTGTCTCCAAAATAATATTTAAAAAAAAATTTTTTTAATGCTTATTTCTGAGAGAGCCAGAGTGTGAGCAGGGGACAGGCAGAGAGAGGGAGACACAGAATTTGAAGCAGGCTCCAGGCTTTGACCTGTCAGCAGAGAGCCCAATGCGGGGCTCGAACTCACAGACCAAGAGATCACGACCTGAGCTGAATTTGGATGCTTAACCGACTGAGCAACCCAGGCACCCCCAAAATAATATTTTTTTAAATGTTTATTTTGAAAGAGAGACAGCACGTGCATGTGTGTGAGTGGGGGAGGGGCAGGGAGAGAGGGAGAGAGAAAATCCCAAGCAGTCTCCACGCTGTCAGCACAGAACCTGACTCGGGGCTCAATCCCATGAACCAGGAGATTATGACCTGAGCCAAAATCGAGAATCAGACACTTAACCAACTGAGCCACCCAGGTGCCCCAAAATAATTATTTTCACTAGCAGGATAAGATTCTATCAGCTTTGAACATGGTCCTGTTTATAGAACCATATTATTGTATTAATCTATTTCTTAGTCTAGAGTAACTAAAGCCCTTTGAGATATACTAGATTTATATAGAAAGCATACTTAAGATTCAAACTGTTCACTCCAAAACCCCAAATGTGCCTCAC